GCCTATAGATTGCAGTTATCAGCGGAGTTGTCCGACTTTCATGATGTGTTCCATGTGTCAGTACTGAGGAAGGTAGTAAGAGAACCAGAGTTAGTTCTGCAGCAGCCACCTCGTGATCTTGGTAGGAATTTGTCTGCACGTATTCAGCCAGTTGAGATTGTAGAGAGACAGGTGAAAGCGGTTCAGGGGATGATGACTATGATGGTTAAGGTTCGTTGGGAAAGAGATGGGATCCAGGAGGAGACTTAAGAGACTGAGACTCAGATGAGGATAGATTATCCAGGACTTTTTCAGGACGATATCAGACAGTCAGACCATGAGCTGAATTCGGGGGCGAATTCCTTATTAGTTGGGGAGAATTGTAATGACCCAAGTCCTGAGGCCCAACAAGGTTTTGGCCCATCGCAGGAAACCCTAGGTGAGATACTATTTAAACACCTCTAGCCTCACTTTTTATTCAGAAAATCCCTAAACACTAGTTTTACAGAGTCTGAGCCGTCAAGCAGATCAGAGTCCGTACGACCAGTGTCACCATCAACCGAGATCGGATCCACCATCCCGTTACCGTCGACCACCGCAGGTAATCCGATCACCGCCGTTTCTTAAGGTTTTATAACGGCCGTTTAGTAAATCGATCATATCTCTCTAACCGCTTGTCCTTTCGGAAATCTAAGGCCACCACCGTGTTGGTGACGTCGAGACGAGTCCGGAGCACCAAGATCAGCCGGAGACCACCGTCCACGCGCCCGCACGCGCCGCCACTCTCCTCCGCCGTTCCGCGCGTGTGAGACACGCGCCGCCGCACCTCGCCGCACGCTCCGCGCGTGTATCTCACGCGCCGTCGTCACGCGCCGCCAGCCGCCGTCCGTGATTCCGGTAAGCCACCGTTCTCCGCCTCGCCGCCGGTGACTCGCCGGTGACTCGGTGACCCGGCCGAGTTGACTCGGCGAGTCAACGCCGCGACTCGGTCAACCGGTTTGACCAAATTGATTTCGGTTTGGTTATTGGTTTGCGGTTTAAATTGATTTGGTTTTGGTTAAGCGTAAACCGGATTGGTTATTAAATTGATTTTGGTTTGGAATTAAACCGGATTGAAA